ACGTAGGTGCTTCGCACCCCGAGACAGCAGTAGGCACATGTCACCGCCTGTGAAGGTCAGATTGGTATTGAGCTATCAGCCACTCACACATCATTCATTTCGCGATGTTCTACTTCTCCTCCAGGAGTTCCATGGTACATGGCCCACTCGTAGTATTGTGACAGTTCGGAAATTCCTCGTCTCCTGAAACTAGCCGTTTCGATCTCTTCAATAATAAGATGTGGAACTAAAATCGGCGCTCTTACTCAGATCTGACGCCCTATCCTGTGTTTTTCTACTTTATAGCGTCTACTCTTCGCGACTGCGGATCAAATATGGCCCTTTTTTCCCCCACTTGTATTAAAAACCCTGACTACCGTTTCCCGAAAGGAATTACTCCCCAGCGCACGCTAATTCTGCACATACTGCAGGAAAGACAATAACCTAAGCAACGACGACGAGTGGGGTCGCTTGTCGAAGAAGGGATTCTACCAGCAGCGGCCTCTGAAGCGGCTTCGTCCGTGCTTCTACAGCCCAATTCAGTGCTTGATGAAACGAGGTCTCGCAGCCGTTCACAGAAATCTTATGGCACATTATTCTTAAACATCCCATCTTCCTGTTAAGCCAGCAAATGTTCGTTTGTTTGCGGAATAAATTTGCATAATGTGCGGGCTCGCCCAACCCCCCGCCTGTTGCCGCATAATACAGCAAAGCAGTGACATGCGCTACTTCCAACAAGTGGGACACGCAACCCAGTCCTGATAAAATTCCCAACACGACAGCCCACTGATCCCGCGCCCACTTCCGATGTTTCCGCGTCACACTCAACAAACTTAGATCCAGTAACACAGCTTATCGCCCTCGAGCTTACTTTTCAATACCTTTTGGACCTTGAAACCTCTCCCCCTTCTCGTTTTGCTTTACGCTCATCCCTAGACCGAGAATGTTGCCGCTCCTTACCAAGACAAAGGGCTTCTCCCTTCGATGTGTCTCTGCAGTAAACAACGCTCGGTAAAACAAACGTGGAATTTGTGGCCTTGTTCGGCAAAGCTTCTTCTGGGCTGTTTAATCACTAGTTTTTTTCGGTGCTGAAGACATCGTTGTAGCGATCTGCGCGACTTCTAAAATTTATCAGCTCACTGGCTGGAATTTATCATTTCATCGGCTTAGGGCTACTATTGAAGAAACCAGTCGTTTCACAGTCTGTTCCGCCGGCAAACTATATTACACCGGACTCCCCAGCACCGAGCAAAACCAGCAACTTTTAGTCAAAACCAGAGAAATGGAATCATCGGCCAATTTTTCAGCCGCTAGCACGGTTTATAATACTGTTATCAGTCCACTCTTTAGTCCTTCGAATATTTTTCAAGGGCGGCCGCTATTTGCATGTGCTGCTGTCGAGTTCTCCGAAAAGTGATAACTGAAATAGAATAACGCAATTTTAAATTTTACGACCGGCAAAAACCAGCAAACGTTTCAATTTGACAAAACATAAAATTTTTCATGAAACGACCAAAACATCAGAACAACTGCCTAAAAACTAGGGACACTGTGTTGTATATTTCTTCCACTGATGAACGCTTCGCCTTCTAAAAATGTAACTCACACAACACAGTCCCCTTACAAAGCCCCACGTTCAACAAGTCTTCCTTGATCCGGAGCGCAAAATGAAAAATTGACAAAATCCAGGATCGTGCTTCTGGCAGCAAAATTCCACAATACTGATAAGTTAGCTACACGTCATGGCAAAAACAATCACAACAAATAGCCGATGCAGCAAGCGAAACAGGAATGAAATGTGAAGTTTTACAGAAAAGCAACACATAAAATCACATACAAACCGTGTTGGCAGGTGAAAATTTAGCCGGAGAACTTTGCTCTGTTATAAACGTTTTACTTAAACAGGTAAGGGAACAGCTTAAATTAATTCAGCTGAAGAAAGTAACTGGCTTAACAAAAAACTGAGCGGCGCGGAATTTGGCAATCAAAATTAGTGTTAAGTAACAAAGTGCACGGAAAAAAACGACTCCAGCTTGCAAATTTAACGTTGAAATGCCAAGTGC